TCTCTCAGACATGACTTTAGAGATCTTCTCGTAGATCTTTGCATTCCTTCTTTTGGATCGCAGTTCGGAAAGCACGGAATCATCGCCCCACACAGCGACGAGATCCAAGACTTCCCGATCAGTCCATCCTGGGGACTACTTTCTATTCACAGACTGCACGGCCAGTGCTGCTGTGCTCGCCACGATGTCCAGACAGGAAATGAGATTCAAACTGGCCAGACAGGAAAAGGAATTCCAATTCAAATTTTCCCGGGGCTTTTCCTGTGTGGCTGGTCAGAGCATACGAGCCCGCACTGCTGTCCAGAGCGTCAACAGAGTGGTGCACTGTGGGATAGCTCCCGGAGCTATTAGCGTCGATTTCCATCCACACCTAGCCTAATTCGACATGGCTATGTCGAATTTGGCGCTACTCCCCTCGTCGGGGAGGAGTACAGAAGTCGAATTAAAGAGACCTCTATGTCGAACTAAATAGCATCGCAGTGTGGACAGGTGCAGGGTTAATTCGATGTAACGGCGCTAACTTCGACATAAACGCCTAGTGTAGACCAGGCCTCAGAAGGGAAACCAATGAGCCTAGTACAACTGCAAATAATTCTATATGAGGCATTTTGCAGACTTATGTTATTCCTCAAAAAAAAAAAAATACTCAGTATATCAGAGTTTCTAAATCTTCAGGGATAGGGCATTGCGTTTACAGATCCACACTGTCCAATGTGGCCTTCCATAGCCCCACATATTTGGCCCTCTCTATATACAAAGATTCTAGCAGATCCTCCTCTGATCTGGTTCAAACAAACCAGAGCCTTTGAAACCAAGACGTTAGTAACAGATTCAACCTTATTTTTTACTAATGCTGAGACCACACTGTTATGGAACATAATGTAAACAGTTAGTTTTTCTCCCCATGTTGCTTTTCAGTTCTCAAAAGTATTAGCTGCAGTCTGTTACATTGACAGTTAGTCTTATCAACTTCCAGAGGAAGTTCAAAAATTATCTAAGGAAGTGCCAGTTTCCTGAACACCCACATCGTAATTCCCTGACCCACAGAATGAGTCGGTTCAGCTCCTAGCATCTGTGTTCTGCCCACCAATCCCTCCTTCAGTTCCAGGCATCATTCCAAATAATAGCCCACAGGTAGTGCAGCGGCTCCTGGTTCTCTCAACACTTCTGCCCTCCCCTTCCCAGGTTTAATCTCCAGTTCTCCGCTCTCCCTCTCCCATTGCAACAGGCTGCTGCCCAGTAGCCACCAGCTATTCTGAAAATGCAAAAGGAGAACTTCTATAGCAGACCACACTCACCAACCCATTTGCTTATTTTGGTGTTATCACTTAGTACAAAAACAACTGTATACCTATCAAATGCCACATTTTGTGCATAAAATTGCCTGCTGTGGACAAACAGATGCCTTTTTTTTTTTAAATACAACCGTTTATTTGTACTTCCAAGGCAAAGTTATAGTGAGGTTCACAAAGGAATACAGAATTAGACTCTCAGAATATATCTGAGGTTATACTGTTAATGCATAGAAATAACTGCACAGGATCTACATGAAATTATACAGGCTACTAGTACTAACAGGAAGCAACAGCAGGATATTACGAGTACATAAGTACACCAGTTCCTAGAAGTCAAACTGTTATTTGGTGCAAAAATCAGTTTGTAAAGAGACAATAGGCAGCCAGCCAGCCACGTGGGCCAGAGCTCACTGTAGCATTAATATATGTAAATTGTACTTAAGATATTTGGAACAGCTACAGAGCAGTTCCCTGGAAAGCAGGAATCTTTCCTGTGTTGATATTATAGTTTTAGGCCAAGATTGCATGCCCTTTTGGAAAGTTAGTTTCAACGATCTGAAAAATCTTTCAAGACCTCTCAAAATCTCCATACATTTTAAACGGATGAAACCATTTAAAAATTTTTTCTTTAAAATGTACAGAAGTGTTAAGATTTCTTAAAAAACCATTAAGAAATGGCCTGTCCCATTTCCACCTCCTCATTCAGAAGCAATATCATACTAGAGTTCTGAAACAGTGATTGTAAGGGTTGTACATGTTTAAACAGCTTAATGCTCTCTGTAAGAATAGAAAGTCTCTCTAGACACATGCTTATTGACCTTTTATCCCAAGACATAAGGCCCACTCGGCTGTTCAGTGCCTTCTGGTGCCAAACAGCATTTTGTTCAAAGGCCTCTAAAAGAAGACTCTAAGGCTATGGCTACATTTGCAGATGTAGAGCACTGGGAGTTAAACCAGATCTCGGAGAGTGCAGTAGGGAAAGTGGTGCAGTGTGTCCACACTGTCAGATTTAAGCACACTGCCGTGGCCACATTAGCAACTCTTGCAACGCCAGAGAGAGCAGTGCATTGTGGTAGTTATCCCAGCAGGCAGGTGGCTGCAACGTACTTTTCAAATGGTGGGGGTAGGGGTGGAGTGTGACAGGCAGTTTGTTGTGTGTATGTGGGGAGAGAGAGTGTGGGTTTTTGGGGGCTGAGAGCATGTCAACATGCTGTCTTCTAAGTTCAGACAGCAGCAGACCCCCCTCCTCCCCACCTCTCTCTCACACTCACAACAGCAGCATTCCACAGTAATGGTTTGCTTTGTCCCCGAGCAGATAAGAAGACGGTTGTCAGAAACAGAGCTTTGAAAGGGCATATCCGCATTCCTATAGCCGATTCCAAAACAATGACAAGAGCGGCCACTTGACTTAAGGGGATTATGGGATGTTTCCGGAGGCCGATCAGAGCACAGTAATGCAACACCATGTTCACACTGACGCTGGGGCATTTCAGCCGAGGCGGAGCAAGCATTATGCTTCTCGTGGAGGTGGACTACTCAGGAGCGCTCCAGCTGCAGAGTCCAGGTGCTCTAAGTGCCTTGTCAGTGTGGAAGGGTTGTGAGTTAGGACACCTAGGGCTGCTTTAATGCGCTCTAACTTGCAAGTGTAGCCAAGCTCTAAGAAAGGAAAAGGCTTGCAAACTTATCCTGCTGAGGAAGCACATTGAATTACTGGATCAAAGTCAGCAGTGAGGGGGATTACACCAAAGGGAAGTCACTGCCAGTTCACAGGAATTGGCAAAGAAGCCCAGGAAGGATCTTAGGTATCAATTTCTGAGTAGTCATTTTATTGTGACATGGAGAATTGCAGTGAAAATTTGTCAGAACTTCATTACAGGTTCCCACTGGTTTAAGTGGAAATAGGATCAGGTCCTCAGCTGTAGCTCTGTCTTCTCTTTTATGGAGAAGCATACCTGCCAAAGAAAAGTATGCTTTGTGTAGGGTTGTGACGGATGAAGAAAAGGAAAGGATGATCAGCGTTGAAATCCTCTTCCATAAGCATGCAGAACATAGCAATGCCAGCAGTGGCAGCTGCAGCTTCTGTGCCTTCTTCATTCACTTCTATGAAAGACTTGTGTACAATTTTAGATAGAAAGAGGTCTCGTGCACCTGACATTCCAGACAAGTCAGCCTTGCCACTGTCAAATATATCCTGCAGGCCCAGACCTGCTAAATCTGATTTAAGGTCATAGCTGTCTTCCAGCTTAAATTTAGGCAGATGCACATGAACATCAATGGGATGCATATTTTGTGGCTGTGTCCATTCCTGGAGCTTTTCTAAGGTGATTTGCTTCTCTAGCTGGAATTACAAGCACAGAGATCATTAAACTTTGTAGAGAGTCTGAAATACCACCAGTGTAAAAGTATTTCTCTTCCAAAAACATTTAAAATGCAATATTGAAAACACGGTCTATAATGATACATGTATACAAAGTAAAGTAAATATGGACATAAAAGGCCAGATTCTGATCTTTGCTACCCCTGTATAAACCCACAGTAATTCTATTACATTCAATGGAGTTACTGCAAATTTACACCTCAGTAACCAAGATCAGAATCTGACCCAAAGCATCCAACTTTAAAATCACAGAGTATTACTTTTTGCTGCTCTGTGCAAAGGAGTTAAAGAAATACTGTACTAGTGACTTAAAAAAAAATCCTATCACTTCATCTAGCTACTTGGAAGTGTAAGTCACTAAAACTCATAATGAAAATAATTAACAATCAACAAGGGAGCTGCCTTCTTGACACTTCAGTAAAGATCATCAGCTTCACTGTTTGAAAGCACAGAAAATATGACATCCAAAGCAGTTAAAAGATAAACTGCACCATTTAAAGGAAAATACAGGTTAACTATTATCAGTAACCTATTTTTATTTCACTTTGTCAACTAGCTCGTGGCTCAGTTCTGAGGATTAATTAATTGGTTAAAGTTTCTGCAGCACTTTGACAAAGTGAAGGCTGCTGTAAGTAACACTGGCTGCCAATGGATTTCTAAGGGACTGAACTGACCATCAGCAGAGTGTAAGGAAACTTCTGCCCTACTTCAGGCAACCCTCCTCCCTCACGCCCCATGCCACCAGCAGGGAGAGGACTAGCATAGCATCCACTACACCCACCCAACTTGAGAAGATCCCCCTACTCAGAACTGATGCTCTTGTGGATAGTAGACAGGCTCCACGGCCAGATTCCTCCAACAGTGACACACAAACCAGATGCACCGCACCCTGGAAATTGGCCCAATATAATTTTATTTGATCAGTAAAACTCCTACTACACGTCTAAAATAAATAACAATGAAAGTACTTAAGGACTATCAGAGGATGGTGATAACTGGAAACAGCAGGATTTTCCCCTTTTGTTATTAATTCTTTACTGTTCTATTAGTAGGCTGAACTGGTGAAGGCATAATGTCAAAGGTTACAATTAGTGGGCTTTTGAAGGGGTGAGGGGCAGACTGAAAACAAGGTTCTATATTACAGGAAAATTGTGAAATGCCATCCAAGCAGAAACTGAGACTGGTTTGTATAAATCACCTGCTGGAGTCCAGTGGAGTTATCGTCAATGTCATCAGGTAACAGGATGATCATGCTAAGTTCTTTTCCATCATAGGGAAGCTCTAGCACACGACATTTCAGTTCAGAGATGTACCCAAAAGGATAGTTCTCTTTCTGATACATCATTTGCACTGTCTTTTTTTCATTCTGAATGGTTTACAAAAAATAAAGAAATTTTTATAAATTAAAGTTAAAAATCAGATTTCCTTACCTATGTTATTAACAATACCTTAGATTAAAATTGACTTTTAAAATCTATATTCCTTTTCACTGTATGGTTTACTCTCTCTGCCCACAAGGCAATGAAAATACTCACAGGTCAGATTCACTAATGCTTGATTTATTAACAATTCTTTGAAGACCCGGTGCTATGTAAATGCTAAGTATTATTATGTTCAGTTTTGCTTTTGGTTTCTCTTGCCTAGCATAATGCTTCCTCCTTCCACTGTAGAAACTAGCCCAGATTCTTCATTCAATTGTAGCTCCTCTACGGTCCTCCAATAGCAAGAGGGGCCACAAACTATATCGATGGTATGTGAGAAATATCCCCAGTGTAAAAGCTATTCCCAGGCACTGTAGAACTAATAGATTTCTCCGCATGGTCTATGGTTGCCAACCCTCCAGGACTGTCCTGGAATCTACAGGAATTCATCTTTAATGAAAGATTATGTCATGTGAGGAAACCTTCAGGAACATGTCCAAGCAAAATTAGCAACCCTAGCATGGTTCCTCCCACAGTCCCCGGCATAAGGGGCATATATGACAAGGAAAGAAGCCTTGGCCAAAGTACAGGGTGATTCAGTTATGCTCAGCTAGCATAACTGCTTCCAGGGAGGCATTAAAAGCATAATTTAAAGCTACGCTAAATTGTATTTGGGGAAAACAGACAGAGTATTGGAGGGGCAAATGTACCTACATGCCATATTTTCCTCCACTCTTCCATTCCTGCAGAAAATGGACGAGCAGTGAAACACAGAATCTAGCCCACTGACTTCAGGAAAATGTTTATGTCAGTGTTTCTCAAACTTTCATATTGGTGACTCCTTTCACATAGCAAACCTCTGAATGCGACCCCCCTTATAAATTAAAAGCACTTTTTTTGTATTTAACACTATTATAAATGCTGGAGGCAAAGCGGGGTTGGGGATGGAGGCTGACAGCTCGTGATCCCCCGTGTAATAACTTTGTGACCCCCTCAGGGGTCACAACCCCCAGTTTGAGACCCCTGGTTTATTTCCAAACAAAAAACTGTTCGAATAAAGAAAGAAAGAAAGTGAAAATATTTCTATTCATATTTGGGTTGTAATTTATAAAAAAATTATAAAAACTTTAATTTGGGGCCTAAATTACCTGAGAGCATCCCTTTATAGATATTCTACAAGCAAAAAGATAACAGCGTGCATCCATATTACCTTATTTAACCGAAATTGCATTTGTTTCGTATCTGCTTCTTTAAATTTCTCAGCCCAATTTCCTTTGAAATAAATAGCATTCACCAACACTAGTTTGGCCATATTATTAACTGAGCCATCAGACAACAGGTTGGGAATTTTACCTTAAAAGAAATAAAAAATCATTACAACGTTATTTTACACTATACGTATTTACATTTAAAAAAATCCACTGTCTTAATTCAAGAAAAGATTTCTGATTTTCCACCTGATACAAATATAGTATATTTAAGCACCATTCTCTTGTACTGTACTACATTATGATGCATATCATAATAATAGTCCATATATAATAACGTCACAAAAGTGTAAACCCTTACAGTCTCAATTTTCAGAAATGCTTCAATTTTTGGGTGCTCAACTCAAGACAACCTGAAGGGGCCTGATTTTCAGAAAGTGGTGAGCATATGCTATTAGCAACAGGGCTTCTTTAGGGTACCTGCCACTGGGCACCCAAAATTTAGGACTACATGATTTAGAAATCTATAATGAGACCAATATTTTCAAAACCAGATGCCTAAACTTAGGCAACTATTTTGGCAATTGTTGGCCTTAATTTATGAAAATGCACATTTCTTTTTAATTATCTAGCTGCCATAAACACTATGCTCATGCATTTTCTGGTTTTACCAGCCATGTGACTGGATATCCCATAACAAGATGGAACAATTCTAATGGCAGCAGAAAATGAGGACATATCCCTATTGAGTAGCCACAAAAAGATGCCCTTTATTTAACTAACCAAAATCTTTTACCTTCAGTCTGCTCTGCTATCCACTGGTTAATTTGTTTCCTTGCTTCATCTGGAGCAAGTAGAAAATCAACCGTAGCTAAATCAGCTCCATATAGTTTCTGAGTCTTAGTCAAGAAGTCCTAGAATACATAGTCAGAAGGAATAGCTTTCATTGCACATAGATAATATCTTTATAGCTATGTTTGGAAGGATTAAACATTTTTCAGTACATGTTGGTAAACATTTATTTCATCCTACATATACAAACTGATGAAAAGACATTTCCAGCAATAATAATTGAAATTTACAGAGAGGCACGGTAAGAAAAATGCTGCTTGCCAGAGTTTGATTTAAGGATCTTTGATTTGTATATTTTGACATCTGATGTTGACAATTTGTGTTTTAACTGTTCTAGAGCTCAACTTTTTGAATCTCTATTGTCATTAAATCATTACTGTCTGACCTGCCAATTGTTAGAACCCCCCCATAATTTTCCACAACTAGAAATTTAAATAGATAAATATAAAGGATAAAATGCTTACAAATATTATCTGCCAAAATTATAAAATAATAAAAATAAAATTCTGCCAAGCCTATTTAGAGCCTAGTGAAACAACACTAACTTAGGTCAGCTAAAGAATCTGTCTATCTCAAGGGTTGGGGGAACTGATCTTGCATTTTATTATTTTTGTTTCTGACAGATACAGGTGAACAACACTAATATTTCAATGCTCCCATCATGCATGAATATGAACTGATTGCTTATTACTGATGTTTCAGTGTTAGACTTTTTAAATTGGGTGATGTTCATCCCCGTGCAACAGGCCCATACAAGCCTAAGCACTACTGAACTACCACTGAGATTCAAAGTGGGACATAAGTGGCCATCAGACCTCATGTAGACTCTCTGCATGGGGTGAATTTCACCTATGGAAGGTAAGTTGGTTTTAAAGTACATCAGGTGGTGTACCACTGATATAACTAGCGGGTGGGATTTTCAAAAACACCTCAGTGACATAGCAGCACAAGCCCCATTGAAAATCAATGGCAGTTAGGCACCGAACTGCCATTTGTGCCCTTAAAAATCTCCCTCTCCTCCCCCGCATATTTACAGATTTATCAGTTTGAGAGCCAAAGACACAAATGGATATCAGACTGCTATTTCCCAAAACAGGGTGCTAAATTTGTAGCCAAAAATGGTTTGTCTTGTGGGTCCTTCAAATGACCTCACATTTTTTACCTCATAAATATACAAATAAAGTTATTCTGCTTAGAATCAATCAATAACATGGCAGTTATGCAGTTTACTAAATTAATTCCAAATTGTATTAAGGTTTTATCTAAATCCTGTTCCAGTGGGAGTTTTGCCACTGACTTCAAGAGGGGCAGGACCAGGTCCTAACAGAAATGGGAAGTAACTGATGATTGAGTTTTGAAAAATTCTACAGGAATTCTGTCACATGAGCTTCTGCATGAACTTACTGCTAAAAAATTGTAGGTCTTCTCTCCATAAAGCCGACTGGCAAGCTTCAACAGATAGGAAGCTCCACTTCTGTTTATGTCAGAGGTCAGGGTCTGAAATCTTGAATGAAGTTCTTCAACAACATCAAAATGAAGGGTCTGGATTAAAAGAAATTAACAATTAATACAGAATACTTGGTAGTAAGTGTTTGAACGATCAGGCCCTTGGAGTCAGGAGGAAAACAAACAAACAGTGTTTGCCTTCTGATTGATTGTAAGCTATTTGAAAACTTCAGCTAGTACAAAATCTAGTGTTGACTTACTGGCAACACAAATGCATCACCTGTGCTCCGTCACTTGCATGGTCTACTAGTTTGGGCACAATTCAAGCTGTTTATTTTAAATTATAATGTTTGGCAGCTCTCCCCCTATGCACCATCCAGCCATAGAGATCTGTTGGGACACTGATATTAGTCCCCAGATATTAAATCTGTATGCAAGGTGCTACCAATATAGGGACCTTCAGTTCTCAAATTCACTTCTCCTTTTGGTTTTGCTTCCTCAGAGCATACTGCAAGCCCTATCTGTTCTCCCAGACCTTATTTGAACATGTGAGTAAGGTGAGCTTGATCTGATTTAGTGTGATTTTCTTTTATTTTTAATAGATGATAATATAAATGCTGCCACATATTATTGAAGGCTGATAATTTAAAAATTAAATATGTTACCGTAGTGTCTCTTTAAAGGCATATTTTCTCTCTGAGTGATTCTCAGAGACAAGTTATTCAACAGGATATATGCATTATGGAGAGATCTACCTGAATCTAGATGAGCCGATGAGAGCGTACCAAGGACCTTCAATGCACATAGAACTATTTGGACAAAGCTAAACTAAACCAGAGACCACGCGTAGGACATGGTCTAGGGACCTGATCCAAAGTACATTGAACTCTATGGAAAGATTCCTATTGACTTCAATGGGCTTTGCATCAGGCCTAGGTGTCCTGGGAAGTTTCAATCTGCTTTGTATAGGTGAAAAGATGCAGTATTAATGCACTATGAAATGGGTCCATGACCCACAGAAACAAATATCCACATGCAAGTTAAAGTCTTTGGTAGCTATAACCTTTCCCACAAGTTTCTCTGCACCTCCCTGATGATGGTTAATGTATTTTCACAAATATTAGAAAGTACTTTGAATTAGAAAGAACATAAGAGTATTGTAGATTAGCATGTTGAAACTTGTCTGAGTGTGGTTTTTTTAGCCCCTTTTCATGCTATTTCTGCTCTGAATAGGTTCAATCTGGGTTGGGCTGTTAGTTTAATTTTGATGATAAAACGGGAGTTAGTTTCTGTACAAAGTTCAGGTCTGACAGGTGGTGATGAAATAGTTTTATTGTTCTAATGGATAACTCAGTGCTGCCTAACATAATATAACATAAAAGAGCCCCTCCTAAAGCCAACAATACAAAGGAGACAATATTCTTATACAAATATATTGTTACCCCTAGCAGAGTAAATTCAAACATACTCTTCTACAACTGCATGTGCCATTCCAAGAAAACCGTGAATAACTGAATCCCTCTTAAGCAATAAATCCCACATGAAATTAGTACCAATGCTGCCATCCAGAATTGTTTTTTGTAATTTAAAATTAATAAATACTAATTTTGAAATCACCAAATCTTTTGTTATTAAAAAATGTGGCTAATGTAAAGTTATGTGGAAGTGCCTGATTAAAGCCCATTGAACTCAAAGGGAGTCTTTCCATTGACTTCTGTGGGCTCTGGATCAGGGTCATCAGGCGCAAAATATAGCAAATACAGTAAAAAACACAAAATACAGTAAGTGTTTAAAGTTAAGCATGTGCTTAAAGCCTTCAAACCTTAAGCACTTAAATGGTGTGCTGAAAAGGAAATAATTTCCAATTGGGGCCTTATTTAGAACATTAGGCACCTATTTTTGAAAATATTAGTCTGCAGATGTGCTGAATCTTACTATTGTGGCTGATCTCATTCAGATCATCTTTGATATGAGACTGATAATGACTTGACTCTGAATGAGAAGGTGGGTGAGAATATCTTTCATTGGACCAACTTCTGTTGGTGAAAGAGAGAAGCTTTCGAGATACCTTTCCCAGACCTGAAGAGCTCTGTGTATTCAGGGTCACAGCCAAATACAAGATTAAACAGGAAGTTTACCATCCTAGCCACTATGGATGTAGAAGCCCTCTACACCAACATTCCATACAAAGATGGACTACAAGCCATCAGGAATAGCATCCCTGATACCATCACGGCAAACCTGGTGGCTGAACTTTGTGACTTTGTCCTCACCCACAACTATTTCAGATTTGGGGACAATTTATACCTTAAGTCAGCGGGACTGCTATGGGTACCCGCATGGCCCCTCAGTATGCCAACATTTTTATGGCTGACTTAGAACAACGCTTCCTCAGCTCTCATCCCCTTACGCCACATTGATGACATCTTCATCATCTGGACCCATAGGAAGGAGGCCCTTGAGGAATTCCACCAAGATTTCAACAATTTCCACCCTACCATCAACCTCAGCCTGGGCCAGCCCACACAAGAGGTCCACTTCCTAGATACTACAGTGCTAATAAGCGATGGTCACATAAACACCACCCTATACCGGAAACCTACTAACCACTATACTTACCAACATGCCTCCAGCTTTCATCCAGACCACATCACACGATCCATTGTCTACAGCCAAGCTCTAAGATACAACCGCATTTGCTCCGATCCCTCAGACAGAGACAAACACCTACAGAATTTCTATCAAGTGTTCTTAAAACTGCAATACCCACCTGATGAAGTGAAGAAACAGATTGACAGAGCCAGAAGGGTACCGAGAAGTCCCCTACTACAAGACAGACCCAACAAAGAAAGTAACAGAACGCCACTAGCCGTCACCAACTAAAACCTCTCCCATGCATCATCAAAGATCTACAACCTGTTCCCGAAGGACAATCCCTCACTCTCACAGACCTTGGGAGACAGGCCAGTCCTCGCTTACAGACAGACCCCCAACCTGAAGCAAATACTCACCAGCAACTACACACCACACAACAAAAACACCAACCCAGGAACCAAACCCTGCTACAAACCCCGGTGCCAACTCTGTCTACATATCTATTCAAGGGACACTATCATAGGACCCAACCACGTCAGCCACACCATCCGGGGCTCCTTCACCTGCACATCTACCAATGTGATATATGCCATCATGTGCCAGCAATACCCCTTTGCCATGTACGTTGGCCAAACCGGACAGTCTCTATGCAAAAGAATAAATGGACACAAAACTGACATCGGGAATCATAACATTCAAAAACCAGTAGAACACTTCAATCTCTGTGGTCACTCAATAACAGACCTAAAAGTGGCAATTCTTCAACAAAAAAACTTCAAAAACAGACTCCAAGGTGAAGCTGTAGAACTGGAGTTAATTTGCAAACTGGATACTATCCGATTAAGCCTGAATAAAGACTGGAAGAGTTTGGGTCATTACAAAACCTAAACTTAATTTCCGCAATACTAATTTCTCCCTACTGTTACTCACACTTTCTTGTCACCTGTCTGTAATGGGCCACTCTCTTACCACTTCAAAAGAGATTTTTCCTCCCTTGGTATCCTGCTGTTAATTGATTTATCTTGTTAGACTGACCTTACACTTGGTAAAGCAATCCCCATCCTTTCATGTATTTATACCTGCTCCTGTATTTTTCACTTCATGCATCTGATGAAGTGGGTTCTAGCCCACGAAAGCTTATGCCAAAATAAATTTGTTAGTCTCTAAAGTGCCACAAGGACTCCTTGTTTTTCCCCCACATATTTTAAGGGGCCTTTCAAGGTGAAGCGTTCTGTTAATACCCCTGCAGTCATAGAATAAAAAGGGGGGCTAGTGGGTTGCAGATTGTTGTAATAAACCATAAATCCAGTGTCTTTATTAAGATCATGATTTTTGGTGTCTGGCAAAGTTATAAATTTAAGCTCCCAGGCTTGTCTTTGGAAGGTGTTGTGCAGGTTTCGTTTGAAGATGGGGACTGAGAGGTCAGGATTTATGGTTTATTACAACAATATGCCACTAACTCTCCCCCCCCCCCTTTTTTTTGTCCTATGTCTCCAGGGGTATTAACGAGCCACTTCACCTTGAATGGTCCCTTGAAAGATGTGTTAACTACTTATGCTAAACAATCTGTTCCCGCTTGTATTTATCTGTCACATGCTGAGTACCTTTCTGAGACCTTAAGGAGAGCTCTGTATAGCTCGAAAGCTTGTCTCTCGTCAATACAAGTTGGTCCAATAAAAGATATTATCTCACCCACCTTGTCTTTCTAATCTCTTGGGACCAACATGGCTACAACAACACTGTAAACAACATTAACTGTGATTGGATTGAAATAAGATTCACATCTGTTTTGTGTGTCTTGTGGAAGATAACAATCCCGTATTTTTACAAAATTCATGATTTCATGCAAAGACGTTGTCATCATGCATTATCATAGTTATGACACTTTATATTTAAGGAGGGGGAGGTGGGTTGAGTTTTTGTTTTTTAACATGGCAGTAGTATGCGTAACATTATGTATTACAAAAATCACAGATCTCTTTGCCAGAGTCGCACAGGGGCTTTGGGCAAAATCTGAAACAGAGACTCTCCTCCCTTCCAAAAAAAAAAATTATCAGGGGCTGGAGGGAGTGGAGCGTGAGTCCATCCTGCACTCACCCCACAGCGATGACTCCTGTCCTGTGGGACTGGGCCTTGCTCCCCTCTCCAGGCATTGTGACCTGGCATACTCGGTTGCAACACCACTCAGTTTGTGGGCCCTTTCAAACTGGGGGCCTGGGGCAGCCCTGATCTTAGCATCAAAAGGCATGAAAACAAATTAAAAAATAATTTGGTTCCAGAGGTTTTGATCAAATTAATTAGTGACTAAATTAAGTGGGAAACAATAGGAAGGGTTAATGAATTCTTATATTTTTTCCTCTTAAAACTTATTTTCTATAACATTAAAAATCTAAACAAGAGAGAAATTTTCACTGACCTTCAACAGCTGTGTCTCTGTGTTACCTTTAGCCCCTAAAAGGACCATGGCCAGTGCAGCAGAAATACTGACTGGTGAGAAGAAGATATTTCCTGTTGGGTTGGTTTCATTCAACTTTCTAAACAGATCGAGAGCAAAATGGGTGTTTGCATTACTCAGTTTCTCCATGGTTACAAGCTGAAAAATAAAATAAGTGCAATCAAGGCTCCAGGTAGTGATTTTTCAAAAACTAAACGCCCTGTGTTATGCAAAGCAAAGGTGAAACTAATAAAAGAGCATTTGTACCATATGGAACTCAGGAATATTAACTTCAATTTACCTTCCTCACACATTAACAAATTCACATAAATAGATATAACAGCTAGTAGATTGCTTACCGCAAACATTCTCGTTACACCAACCTTACAGATGTTATATAATAACCTTCTGTAGCCTCTTATTTCTAAATTTGGAACAAACAAAGGTTAAGGAGCTTGCAAGAATGGACACTATAGTCCTCTTACTCCAAATTCACAAACCAGACAGTCAAGACAACTGGTGGGTGACCTTGTTTTCCCACCAGTGGATTTATTAATTGTAATACACTAAGGCATCCAGTATAGAAGTTGGTGAAAGGTACTTAAATCTCCATCTCATCTGAGACCTGTTTCTGTTGAGCAGACCACACCAAATTAAGGTCCCAGTCCTCCACAGATTTACACATCTGCTTAACTTCATGCACTGTGAGAACTCATCGAATTTACTGGGACTACTCAATGTGTATCATGTTTAGCATGTGCCTAAATCTTTGCAGGATCAGAGCCCGAGAATGGAATCAAATGTGTACATGAGAGCTGGAATTTTGAAATCAAAAGTGAAACGTAGAATCATGCCACTGCCCCCGCCATTAGGAATTTGCGACAGCACAGTCTCTCTGGCCTTAGGGGGTTTGTCCACACACTGAAGTTGTGTTGCTTAACTGGTGCCATTTTAAACCTGACTTGGAAGGAGGAGCAGCTGCATCCAGGGCTTTCCCTAGAAGGCTGCTGAGAACTTGTCATGGGCAGGCTATTGCGAAGCCGCTTCTTCTCCCTGGGGGCGGGTGGGAGAGGCTCAGCCGGTACTGTGGGCTTTTCTCTCCTGCAGGGCTGCCTCCGTGTCCCCTCTAGGCATGCAGTGAGCGGGGAGGAAGAACAGGCCGAGGCACTCGGGACCAGCCCAAGCTGCACATTTCTAATACGCTGGAGGGGGGCAGATTGCAGGCTCCTGCTCGGTCTCCAGCACATGACGCAGCATCCTCCCCTTAGCCCCATTTCTTGGAGCCAATGAGCGTCCCCCGACCCCCTCCCCTGCTCTCGGACTGGGACAAATTCACCGCTGCTGTTTCTTACCCTGCAGCCCCGGCTGGGGATTCACTGGTTCCAGGCAGTAGGAGAGACACGTGAACCAGTGACTCAGCCCTGCGAGCTTAGCCAGGCCCGGGGCGGGGAGCGTGTGTGGGCTGGGCCGGGCCGGGGACGAGCTTTAGGGGTGGAAAACGTACAGACGCTGCTCGGGGGAGGACCGGGGCCGCCAGCCCCACCCCAGCTGGGTGCGCTGTGACTGCAGCGGGAGGGGCTACCTCTGCAGGAGGGATTGAGGCAGCAGGGGTGCGGGGAATGGATCGGGAGGGGAGGATGAAGGAAAGGTGGGGAATGGAGGAGGCGATGAACTACCCACGGCTGGTCAGAAATACTGATCGGCGAGAAGAAGATATTTCCTGTTGGGTTGGTTTCATTCAACTTTCTAAACAGATCGAGAGCAAAATGGGTGTTTGCATCACTCAGTTTCTCCCTGGTTACAAACTGAAAAATAAATTAAGTGCAATCAAGGTTCCAGGTAAAAACTGCGATTTTCTCTGTAGTATCTAACTGCAGTGTGTGTCTTGAATTTTGTTCTCAGCCTTGCACTGTAAATACAGAGCTACTCCACTAGTTTGTATTTACACTGTGTAACTGAGCAAAATTTGGCTCAATGTCTCTATTGAAGACTGAACAGTTTCCAGACCAAAAAATTGCTGTACTGTGACCTCAGTTTCCTCTCTCTCCAGTTGGGTTTAGAAAAGGCTGAAATTGGTTGTTACAGTACTACTTTGTGTTGTTATAGCTCCTTCCAAGGATTTCAAAATGCTTTACAAATAAGTAAACCAACTTTGTAACACAGAGATTATTTACAAATAGGTGAATGGGGTCGGAAGCCAGTTAAGTAATTTTCCCAAGGTCTATATGTCTCAGATCTGACTTCTAGCCCCATATATTTACTACAGTAGCTTTAAATAATTCCCCCACAAGGGGTTTGGCAACACCTTTAGATGTGAAACAATGATAATACAATGAGGACAGACTGAAATATCCCCTTAAAACAAATTACAAAATCTTTCATCACAGAGGGAAGGACTTTAAAATTTCCCTAAAAAGAGTTTCAAAAGGGAGGAATGTGCATGAGAACAACCACACTGGGTCCACCCAATGGTCCATCGATCCCAATATCTTGTCTCTTGCCAGTGGTGAGTACCAGAGCTTCAGGGGAGAGTGTACAGAACAGGGCAATTTTGGGGAAATCTGCTGCTGTCTTCCCCTCCCAGCTTCTATCAGTCGGAGGTTTATTACCTTCCTCAGATGAATGAGACTGACAAGGTTTGCAGAAAAGATCTCTCAGCCCCTTATCCTGATATGCCAAGCTTTTGTTTTCCTCTGAAAAGGCAGAGAGATTAGCCCTTGCTTGTGGGTTTTTATGAACTCTGCAGGAAGCAGTATGCAGGCTGGAAAAAGGTGCACAGATCTAGACTGTTGGTATTATTCACTCTTCAAAGGTGTGGACAATTTTTTCTGCCTCTGGTGAGGGAGCAGGCTGTCTCCCCCAGAAACACCTTTTCAACCACTGCCTTTTCTTTATGTTGCTTTTCTCTACTATGACGTGATATGCGGTCCAGTAACTCAGTCTACTATTGTTAATTTTTCTCTTTTTTGCTCAGTGGTAAGACTGTATCCATAGTTATACTATAGTAAACATTGTTCAAGTTAATTTAGTTTATCTGGTAGTTACGACATTAGACAAGTTCATGGGGCTACATGACTGAAAGGCAGAAAGTACTGGGCCCCTGGAGCTACCTGCCTTTTTTCAGCCACAGTGCTGCCTTTGCCTCTCTGAGTGCACAGAATCACACTGGGTACTGCTGGCCATGACATCATCAGGTAAAGGAAATACACTGCTAAAGCAACAACAAATGTTATCCAGACCTTCGTGAGTCTAGACTTACAGGAGAGACACCACTGATGTTCAGGTGACCATTTATTAGGTAATATCCCATGTTTGACATGAAGATGACAAGAGCACCCTTCCCCTCTCTGTTGCAATCACAACCTCCAATTTTTAAAGTAGTTAGAATAATGGAATTGGAAACAATAGCTGCGTGTTTGCTGAACAGCCAGATGGGAAGTCTTCCCTTCTCTTCCAGTTGGTGAGATGAGCTCCAGGGACTGTGTAGTCAGCACAGTTGTTGAAGGGTTCTTCTGATTGGCTGCAGTGATATTTCAGTCAGCCCAGAGTAGGAAAGCAGAAGGCAAGTAGTGAAGCAGCCCAGCTTACTTGTTGGGTATAGGACAGCTGTCCTCAGAAAGGTAACTAAACCATCAGCTGAGGAGGCTCTTTTTTTAAGTGCTTAACTATGGTTATACTGAAGACTAACCAAGGACAGTTTACATTAAAAACAAAAAAATGCCCCCATGGAATGAATAAGATGTGTGCTTACCAGCCAATCACTGTGCTTGCACAGCATAGCCCATTTCCCCTCCCTGCACAGATCTTAAGACTTTTTCTTTCTTGAGGTTGTACAGTGCCTACCACTGGGGCTCCCATTCTGCTTGGAACCATTGAGTGTTGTCACAGTATAAATGGTAACCATGAGTGCAGACCTCACTCTCATAGAATCATAGAATATCAGGGTTGGAAGGGACCTCAGGAGGTCATCTAGTCCAACCCCCTGCTCAAAGCAGGACCAATCCCCATAACTTAACTACTGGTCCAAAACAAATGCTACAGCTTGCAGTAGTGTCAGTTCAGTACAGTGTGTTAATAGTGTAGTTTTTGATTTAAAAGACACAAATGATGGATAAATCTCTCCAAATATTATTACCTAAAGAGGACAATATTTCCTTTACTTACCAGAGAGAGGAAATTCTCGCAAAAGGCCCAAACTCTGCAATATACAGCTCCTTGACCCCTATGGAGAAATGTTCTTACAGAAGTCTAAAAAATGCCAAAACTTCATGTAAGCTTCAGACTAACCTATTGGCAACAATATTTCACAGTGTGACCTCAAACAAATCTGTAGAACTAAACAAGTTTGTAGGACTTTCTGCTTTAAGAGATGAGATTGATATTCTTTTGGGGATGGGGGAGAAATCTCACTGCCAGCTTTCCCTTTCATTCAAGAGGTGTCACAGAATTTCATAAATATTGAGCCTGTTATGTTGCTTATTCTTTTGTTCCTGTCTTAAGCTGTGTGTGGTGAATGATGTGCTGTTAATAGCTGCAGCATTCTACCCCAGAGATAGGTATACTTCAGTGATGGATTAAGTGATTGCTAGGCAGTAGTCCCCCTTAAACTTGTCAGTTTTGTCTTTTATAAAAGATTACCTTGATATTTCCTAATCTTTCCCTCACTTACTATGGGGAACACCTAGAAAGACTGAGGTGAAGTTGGTTATCTTAAAGGTACAATGAAGGCACAATTGGCAAGTCTATGGCATCACTTCACCTACCACAGAAATGCAGTCACCTCTGAGCTGGAACAGATTTTCAGTATTGCATACCAGCGCTAGTTTACACCACAGACTGAAGAATGGGTTAAAATAGGGGGCTGTTAGGTTGCAGAATACCTTTTCCTAAGTTGGGATTTGGTCAGGACACGATTGTAAACAACCCTTGCTCTTATTTTCACTGCCTAAGAAAATAACACTGAAGCATCTGACTCTAGGATTTTAAAATCCTAAAACTATGGAAGTAAAACAAAGAGTGCTGTTGCTGCTGAAGTTAGTTACATGGAGCAACTTCTTAAATGTGAAAGAATTATAGGCCAAAAATCATTACTAAGGGAAGCATGAGCAACTCTTCTGATGTCAGTTGTAGTGGTCCTGCTTATGCTACCTATGATTAGCTCGGTGGTGACAATGAGACACTGTGTGTCTAGGATATAAGGCACTGGGAGTCAAGAGACCTGGGTGGTATTCCCAGCTCTGCCAGTGACCAGCTGTGACTTTGAACAAGTCACTTTACTCCCCCCTCCCACACTTTCTGTCTTGAGCATTTTGTTTCCCTATACTGGACAACTTTGCCTTTCATCTAGGAGGTGTCAGAGAACTTCATAAATATTAATTGAGCCTGTAATGTAGCTAACTCTTTTGCTCTGCACTTAAGATGTGTGTGGTAAATCAGGTGCTGTTAATAGCTGCAGCATTCTACCTCAGAGGTGGGTATGTTTCAGTGATGGATTAAGTGATTCCTAGGCAGTGGTCCCCCTTAAATTTGTCAGCTTTGTCTTTTATAAAAGATTACCTCAGTATTCCCTAAACTTTCCCTTACTTAATATGGGGAACACCTAGAATGCACCAAAGACGGAGATGAAGTTAATTATCGTAAAAGGTACAATTAGCAAGTCTATGGCATTACTTTACCTACCACAGAAATGCAGTCACCTCTGAACTGAAGCAGATTTTCAGTATTGCATAGGAGCATTAGTTTAGAACAGACTGAAAAACTGGTTAATGTAGGTTGCAGAATGCCTTAACCTACGTTGGGATTTGGTCAGGACACCACTGCAAACAGCCTTTGCTTTTATTTTCTCTTTTCACTGTCTCAGAACCTGACACAAACATGTGACTCTGGGATTTTAAAATCCCAAAACTATGGAAGTAAAGCAGCATTAGCCCTCTGTTTAATTTAGTCATATGGAGCAACTTAAATTCTGAGCTAACGTTAATTTTTTAGCACAGAATTTCTACTGCATTTGAGTAATGGATGACAATTTAAAAACAAAAATACACAAGTTGCAGGCAATAGTATAAATGACGCTAACTGAAAGAGTCTCCCATTTCTTTCCTGTCAAGTGAAAGAATTATGGGCCAAAAATCATTGCTGATGGAAGCACAAGCAACTCATCTGAAGTTAGTTGTGTTCCGGCCACCAATGATTTTTGGCTCCGTGATGACAATGAGGCAGCGTGGATCTAAGATACAGGGCACTGGACTGGAAGTTAGGAAATGTGGGTGCTACTCTCAGCTCTGCCAGTGACCTGTTGTGACTTTAGACAAGTCCCTTTACTTCCCCCTTCTGTTTTGACTATTTTGTCTCCCTGTATTAGACATTTGTACAAACACACTAGGCCCCAGTAATGGTTGGAGCTGTAGGCACTACTGAAACACATACAATGAAATGTTTTAATAGTGAACTGCCTCAGCTGGTAGGAGGGTTTCCCTCAATTTCGCCAGAGTTAAGGAACTGCTGTGGTG